GCTAGGCGGTCAGCATGATCATGCCTGGGGATTCCAACATGCGATGGTATCCACACAAAACGTATATCATGGCCTCGTTCTTTTGCACGATACACATTTATCCTTATGTCATTTGCAATATTTCCTGCACCTTTGTCTAGTGTGTTCAATGCCTGGAGAGCACTCTGTGAGTCGCAGAAAATGGTGTGAAAGGCGGGTATTTTGTCCCGTAGAGTTACAAGGCGTGCGACCCTCGCCTCAGGAACGCGTGCTCGAAGCCCCTTCTCTGGCTTCTCCGCCTCGCCTGTCACGGGCCCGATTCGTCTCTTCGCTGGCATGGAGGACGATGACATTTCAGTATATGTTGTCAAACCCCAGTAGAGCAATGATAAAGGGGAATAGTGGATGCTGGCATCATACAAAACTATTTCATATATCATTTGTTACCCAAACTAAAAAGGATGAAAAAAAGTTAAAGCGATATTTCATTACAGAACGTAATTACGCTTAGCACACGCATTTTTAGTCCGAAATAAGCGTATTATGGCTCATGTTGTAGACGAACAAATCTATTGCATGATGCAAGTAGTTTTTGCAATCCTTTCATGTGCTTCTTGTAAAAGTGGCATATATAAAAAAGCCCTTTTCAGTGCTCTAAAAGTGACCAACATCAAATATTCACACACACAATAGATGAAACACGGTTCTATTCAGGAATATCAGAATGCTTTATATATATATATATATATATATATATATATATATATATATATATATATTATATATATTTTTTTTTTTTTTTTTTTTTTTTTTTTTTGGGGGGGTATAGAAATTTTCAAAAATGGTCAATCTACACCAAGAAACGACCAAAGGAGCAGGGCCCGCCGAAAGAAAAGTAATCTGGGACACGGTTACCTGCTGGGAATTTCTGCCAGACCGGAATGCAGGTACATGACAGGGGATCATGGAGTAAGCTCGGTCATGTACCTTTTAGTGTTAATACCAAAATAGTCATGACAAGATACGCAAAAACCACCGTTATTTCGAGAGTATACTTAGCTACACATGAAAGCTCTCTCCCCGTCATTTTTAGTCTGAAATAAACGTATTATGACTCATTTTGAGGATAAATAAAAGGTCTGGGGAATGCAAACAGTTTTTTTCACTTGTGCTGCTTGTAAAAGTGACATATATGTGGAAAAAAAAACCTTTTTTTGACACAATATTCCAGGTAAAATATTCGCCAAAGATAAATAGAGTCGAAATCGAAACAGGAAGAATCCGCAGCATTTCCCAGATTAAGGATGAATCTGTCAAAAAAAAAAAAAAAAAAAAAAAAAAAAAAAAAGCAGTCGATCCCCTTAAATAAAACGCATCTTTCATTTCTGATTATATCGATAGTTGTTATTAAGACTAACAATTGGAATCATAATCGCCACAGTAACGATATTAATAGCATTAGAAATGTCTAGAACGAAATCCATGAATTGAAAAAAATAGATTGAGGTTATGTAAGCCCCTTGATGGCTGAACACCTATGGAACCATCCGTGTTTGACGAAATTCGTTGGAAAATAGAAAGAAAAAGAAATTGAAGACTGCACGCGTGGCCGGTGGATTAATATTCTATTCACTATTCTGAATTGTCGAAAATTGGGATTGTAGACTTTTAACTAGCATGCAGTGACATAAAGATCATATGCAGGGCTCACAAAACAAATTTCTTTCATGTTTTTGCAATCGAGAATGATCGTGACACAAAATCATTAAATCCACATGAACACCAAAAAATACAACTCGTCTATAAAAGGAAAGGTTAATATTCTTTCAGGAATGACTTGGTGTGGTCGCCTTTTTTTATACAATTCAGACAATGCCACTTGTGGGTCATGACACAAATCACGAATCCAATTGCTTTGTGTTTAATTTCGGTAATCAAAAGCAAGGCAACTCAAATATGCGCCGACTCATCAGGTCTCATTTTTTAGTCTGCTGTATACAATGATTCTATTGTTTATGAATCCATTACTTTTTTTTTTCGAAATTCAAAAATGGGCTGCTTTCAACACTTTATTTTTCGCTGAAAAGGGATAACTCTAGAATTCAGATCGAGTTGCTTTCCCTTTCCTGACCGGACGCAGTATGAATAAATTGCACAATTAAGAATATTTTCATTGTGGGCCAATGTCGTCAGAAGTATTCCGGACCAAGTGCAGTTCAATTTGATTTCTTATTCTAATTCTCTAAGGAAAATTAACATTGGTTCCTTATTTTTTTTTTCTTTTTTTTACCCGAATTATTAGCTATCTTTGTCATAGTTTCTTTGGCTTTGTGTTGTCTGACCCTTCAGCTACTTAAATATTTTTCCCTTTCCTTACCTTTTTTTCTTTTATATTTCCGGCTAGCATAAATATATATTTATGTTGAAATTGTAGTAGTATCCTTATCCCTAACTCTTTTAAAACTTTTGTTTGACTTCTCTGTGATACTTTATTGCAAGAGGTACTCGAGATGGAATGATA